GCTCCTCTGCTCTGACTAACTCTCTGTTTTGCAGACCACTGACCTCTCAGTCGTCTTCAAGGACTCCACTGCCACCACCCCACTGGTGTTTGTGCTGTCCCCGGGCACTGACCCCGCTGCTGACCTCTACAAGTTTGCTGAAGAAATGAAGTTCACACAAAAGCTCTCTGCCATTTCTCTGGGCCAAGGACAGGTGAGCTGCCAGTGCACACCTGGAGCAACAGTGTGTTGCTGGCACTCCCACTGATCTCACCAAGCTCCAAGTAGGTCACACACCATTGGCAGCACATTGAAAACATCCCCCTGCCCCTGGGCCCTTACTCACCAGCCTTCTGCTAGCAGGAAGAGCCAGTTTGGGGTGGGGGCTGCAGCAGTTCCCACTATAGTGCCCTCTAACTTCCTGAATCCATCCACAGTTCTTCCATTCCCTCCACCCTCCCTCACAGGCTTGTAAAAACTGTAAAAAATCTTTGCTGTGCCACCAGACACTGTCCTAGCTCTGGACAGTGGTCCTTCCACCCAGCTGCTCCCTCCCTGTCCAGCTCAGCATGGCATAGCCCACCGTGGGCCAGGGTCTCTGAGCTCTTTCTCTCTGCCTCCACAGGGGCCCCGTGCTGAAGCCATGTTGCACGGTGCCATGGAGCAGGGCAACTGGGTCTTCTTCCAGAACTGCCACCTGGCCCCCAGCTGGATGCCCTCACTGGAGAGACTCATCGAGGCCATTGACCCCACCAAGGTGAGCTGTTTTACTGAGCAGGTGCCTGCTCTGAGGATAACAGGCAGGAGGCTGGAGCCCTGGGAGGAGCCCAGATCTAGTTCAGGCCCATCCACAGGTTCTCTAAAGAACCAGGGGGTCAGTGCAGGAGCAGCTGCAGGGGCTGTGCTTGCACCCTCTGAGCACTTGCTGCCTTCTGGACTTCCAGGTGCATCCGGACTTTCGCCTCTGGCTCACCAGTCTACCAAGTAACCACTTCCCTGTGTCCATCCTCCAGAACGGCTCCAAGATGACCATTGAGCCCCCCCGTGGGGTCAAGGCCAACCTACTCAAGTCCTACATTAGTTTCAGTGATGACTTCTTGAATTCTTGCTCCAAGGTGAGACTCAGGTCATGCTTTGGTTTGCTGTCCCCACTCCATGCCTGCTCCAGTGTATGGTCTCCACCTGGATGTTGCTCTTCTCCAGGTATAGATCTTCCTCCTCATTAGAGCACCCATGGGACAGAGAAGGGCTGGAGGTATTTCTCATAAACTCCCATCTACTCTGTGATGAGCCACTTAGAAGTTTTACTTTGAGAAACAGCAGTAACAGGCTTGGGAGGGCCTGGCATAAAGCACTGGCAGCTCTCTTTAAGGAAGGAGTGGGCCATGGCCTTCCCCAGCACAGCAACCTGACTGAAGTTTCCCCCTCTCCAAGCCTCAGTTGGCACTACTGAATTGGCACATCTCCTCTGCCAGGTCCCATCAGATCCTGGCTCCAACCAAGGATGCCTCCTCCCAAACTAAGCAACTCCTCTCCCTGCTTCCCTGCCCACAGGTCACTGAGTTTAAATCCTTGCTGCTGTCACTTTGCTTCTTCCATGGAAACATGCTGGAGAGGAGAAAGTTTGGGCCTCTGGGGTTCAACATCCCCTATGAGTTCACGGACGGAGACCTCCGCATCTGCATCAGTCAGCTGCAGATGTTCTTGAACGAGTACGCAGACATCCCCTACAAGGTAAGAGCTGCCCCTCCTGTGAGGGAACAGGCTCGTGATGCATGAAGGGGTTGGAAAGCCATGGTGGGATCCCTCACAGGTTCTCAAGTACACAGCTGGGGAGATCAACTACGGCGGCCGTGTTACCGATGACTGGGACCGGCGCTGCATCATGAGCATTTTGGAAGATTTCTACAAGCCTGAGGTTTTAAATCCTGACTTTGCCTATTCCGAATCGGGCATCTACAAGCAGATCAGTACCTCTTCTGACCTCAATGTAAGTACTCAAGTCACAAATTGCAGCTCATAGACGCAGGGGGATCATCATACTGCACAGGGGTCTCTCCTCCCTGAAACCCCCTGCACTTCCAGTCCTCTGGGGGAATATAAGTTTGTGAGAACCTGGGATCTTCAGCTGCTCTTGGCCTCACAGCCTGGGTGGATTCCTCTCCAGGGCTACCTCCAATATGTCAAGGGCCTGCCGCTCAACGACAGCCCGGAGCTGTTTGGTTTACACGACAACGCCGACATCACCTTCGCTCAGAACGAGACCTTTGCCCTGCTGGGGGCCATTGCACAGCTGCAACCCAAGACCATCTCACTGGGAGGCCGTAGCAGGGAGGAGGTGGGTGCCCTGATCCCACCAGTGCTCTGGCAGCCAGTGCCCAGTGCAGGCAGTGGCCACAAACACCAGCTGTCAGCAGGTGCTGGGTGCCAGCAGTGGCACTTGGTGTTAGCTCTTCCCCTTCTCAGCAGCCATGGAGCTGGAGTAGAAAGATGCTCACCCACTTGCTGCCTTCCTTCCAGATCGTGGAGGAGACCTCCAAGGACATCTTGGCAAAGCTGCCTGCCCCCATGAACCTGCAGGAGGTGATCCGCAAATACCCACTGCTCTACGAGGAGTCCATGAACACAGTGCTGGTGCAGGAGGTGATCAGGTAAAACCCCTGTGGGATCACATCCCGGGGAGCAGCAGAGATGGGCAGGCCCCTCTCCCACCCACCTTTGGGGAACCTCAGTGCTGAGCATGGCAGTGGGGTTGGCAGCCACACTAACAACTGTGTTGTCCAAGCCAGGACCTTTGGCTGATCCCTGCCCTGTGGGGACTGATCCATGATCTACTACTGTCAGCAGTTCAGCGCTGGGGGCGCAGCTATGAGACCCCGTTGAAGAGGAATGGGGCTGGGGGAGCTTCACTCATGTACAGAGCTGTCCATACCCTCTCTGGGCAGACATGGGCAATAAATCACTGCACAGAGTTGCTCTGCTTCCTCTGCTCTTTCCCTGTAGGTACAACAAGCTCCTGGAGGAGGTTGCTCAGAGTCTGAATGATTTGCTGAAAGCTCTCAAGGGCTTGGTTGTGATGTCCTCTCGACTGGAGCTGATGGCCAGCAGCTTGTACAACAACACTGTTCCCGAGATATGGAATGCCAAGGTACATGCCCCAGCCAGCCCAGCTGCCCACCAGAGCTCACCAAACCAGGGGAATGGGTCACCAGCCACCACCACTGTACTAGGCTGTGTCACATGCTTGCTTCCCTGGCACAGAGATATTTCCTGCCTAGTGCAGCTCACAGTTCTTCCCAGCCCCTGGGCTCTGGGCAGCTGTCACTGACTGTGGCACAAGCTCTGGGCTGTCCTTGGCTGCATTCAGCACCTCCCTCTGTGGGTCCCCCACAGGCCTATCCGTCGCTGAAGCCCTTGGCATCCTGGGTGAACGACTTGGTGCAGCGCATTGAATTCCTGCAGAACTGGATCAGCCACGGGATCCCCTCCGTGTTCTGGATCAGTGGGTTCTTCTTCCCTCAGGCCTTCCTCACAGGGACACTGCAGAACTTCGCCAGGAAGTCTGTCATCTCCATCGACACCATCTCTTTTAGCTTCAAGGTCAGTAAATCAGGTGGAGGCTTTGGAATTTTTTGGAATCTGCTCCTAGAAGGCCACAAAGGCAGCAGTTTTAACCCTGACCTGCCCAAGAGGTGAAGCCACCAGCTGCACAGCTGCCTGTGGATCCATCACTCCCTTTGGGCTTGAATATACCCATCCACACTGCCAGACACCTCCTCAAGGCTGGCAGAGGCTTCTCTGCCTCTCCAGACCTGCTCATGTCCCCCTCCACCAACTCTGTCACAGGCTGCCCCACATGACGTGACCAGCCAAAAAACACAGCCCTGCCCCTCTGAGAGCTGGGGCAGGCTCACCTTTGGCAGTGCTGGCTTAACTAAGAGCAGCTTATGAGGCTCCTTAGGGCTGAGCCCCCAGGGACATGCCTTGCCCAAGGGCCCCATGCCCGGTCCCCTGGCAGGTCATGAAGGAGTCGGTGAAGGAGCTGAAGCGCCAGCCCGACATAGGCTGCTACATCTACGGCTTGTTCCTGGAAGGCGCCCGCTGGGACCCCGCGGCGGGTCAGCTGGCAGAGTCCCGGCCCAAGGAGCTCTACACAGAGATGGCCGTCATCTGGCTGCTGCCCGTCGCCAACCGCAAACCTCCGGAGTCCGGCTCCTACCTGTGCCCCATCTACAAGACTCTCACCCGCGCAGGTAGGTGCCCTAAAGACACATCTCCAGAAGCACGGGAGCTGCAGGAACAGCTAGGAGGGGCAGCCCAGGAGAGGCAGAAGGAGTTCCTCCTGCCATACACTGGCATAGAGTGAGGCACTGTAGGCTGAAGCCATCCAGGGAGACAAAGATTTCTCCTGCTGTGGTTGTGGAGATGGAGCAGCCAGGCACTGTGGCTATGCAGCAGTGCCCCTGGCCAGGCTCCCCACAAGCTCACAAGCCTGTTTCCCCCAGCCCTGCTCAGCCTGTCACCTGGCTCAGGGTGGGGGACGGGGGCTCCTGGATGGGGGTCACTTGTCCAGGACTCCCCTGTCAGTGTGCAGCAGCACCACCCCCTTGCTTCCCCCATTACAGGCACACTGTCAACAACGGGCCACTCCACCAACTACGTGATTGCTGTGGAGATTCCTACGGACAAGCCACAGAAGCACTGGATCAAACGGGGCACAGCCTTGATCTGTGCCCTGGACTTCTAACCAGGAGTCCCACCCACCCAGCCAGCCCAGGAACCCATTGCAGCTGAGGGTCTCAGCCAGGCCGCTGCTCCCTCTCCTCCTGCTCTCTTCCTGTTGAGGTGATTCCTGCCCTCCTCCTATTGAGGTGTGTCAATAAATTGAGCCTGACTCCACCAGCAGCACAGGCACCTGGTGGTGTTGCACCTCAAGTCTTTACACCTCGGAAGAGCTGCTAGCAGGGGAAACATGGCCTGGAGCTGGCACTCGGTGCTCCCAGCCACACACACACCTCTCCTTTGGCTGGCTGTTACAGGATAGCTTTATTCCTTCAGACAGATCCATTATTTACAGCACTTGATATTAGACACAGCAAGAGACAGAAGGATTTTCTTTCCTTCAACAAATACCAAAAGAACTCTTTCATTTCATAGTCAAGATCCGTACACATTTTAAAAAATTCAGTCCTCTCCTGTGGCACCTCCACCACAGGACATCTCTGGAGGGCGGTGCTCACCTCTGACACCTCAGATTTCCACCAGGCTGCTGGGGGGTCAGGCAGGAGACCATGTGCAGAGCACTGGCAGGAGGCAGTGGGAAAGAGGCAGCCAGGCTGCACCAGCAAGCTCTGGTTAGCAGCCAACCAGGGGCTTGGGCAGGAGGAGCTGGAGGCTCCCTTCACTGCTGTCCCCCTCCCACCTCCACCACTGCAGCAACCACCTGCCTCTCCCCATGCTGAGAGGCTTCACTGAGCCACATCCAGCATCCACCCTGGTGCTGTGCCCAGCAGCACCAGACCACCCTAAGAACCTGGTCTGTTCATACATAATTCATGGAGTCTCTCTAGGGACTGGAACAATCCCTCGTGACCTACAGGCGCTGCCAGGGCCACGGGGCTGGTCCCAAGTGGAGCAGCCATGGCAGCAGAGCCATGGGCCACCCCCAGCACCACCACAGAGGGCTGGGCACAAGGCCCAGCTCCAGGGACAAGCCTGCCCACGCTCACCCAGCAAGAGATCTGCCATGCCCACCAGGGAAAAGCTACACTGGGGTGGTATCACCATCCCCAGGAGCCCAGGCAGCACTAGGCACTGGGACAGTGCAGTGCAGGGTGGGTGCAGAAGGGGCTCTGTCCCAGACCCACCTTGCTCAGAATGGCCAAAGCCTGGGTTAGGAGCAAAAATGAGTTTGGGGAAGGGAGGGAGAAGGATAGAAAACACAGACATGAGCGGCCCAGGGAAGCACAGAGCTGAAGGTCTGGATGCAGGAGGACACAGGCCACAGCCAGCTGTGGCCAGCACAGCCCCACGTGGGCGTTGCCAGCATTCCCACACCACCAGACCCACCACCAGCTGGGTGGGCTCCTTCCTTCCCATCACAGTCCTCAGCCACGGCACTGAGCCACAGCCCCACGGCATCTGGGCACTGCCATGGCATGGTCAGGCAGCTGGGGCACTCTGGATTGCCTTCTGCTGCAGGGATTCCTCGAGACATATTCCTGCCCTTCACTGCTCAGGTGCAGAGGAAAACCCAATTTCCATTTGTCCCCAGGTTCCACCTCTGCCGAGGGCTTGTCACTGTGGTCCCTCTTCCTTGGGCAAAGGGTAAGGTAGATCCAAGTGTCATTGCCCAAAGGCACAAAGCCCCAGCTGCTGTTTCTCACAGTCCTGGCTTCCCAGCTACTGGCGCTTGGCTTTGTACGGGCGGGAGCGTTTCCGGCGGTCCGGCTTCCTCTGCTTGTGCAGGCGGCCGATGCTGACCCCCTGCCGCCTGCGGACCGAGATGTTCTGCTCCACGAGGCTGGCCAGCATGCCTGCAGGGACAGCACACAGACATGGGCCTGGAGGGTTGGAATTACCTCCCTCCCTCCCTCACCCAAAACCCAGCAGTGGGCACCTCCTGAGACTATGAATCGAGACACACAGCAGAGACCTGGCTCCCTGGAGTGAGTGCTACCCTGTGTTCCCCAGGCCGGGCAGAAACAGGGAGCCAGGCAGGGTGAGCTTCCCAGGCTCCCAGCTGCTGCTCCCCAGCTGAACCCAAACCCCACTCCCCATCCCCTCAGCTGCACAGCACAGCTCACCTTCCTGGGCCAGCATGGAGATGAAGGTACAGATGAACTCATCGTAGTTGTGGGTTCTCCTCTGGTCATCAATCTACAAAGAGACAAATCCACAAGTGAGTGGCAGGGAGAAAGGAGAGTTCAAGCCTAACAGGACAAAGAACTGGCTTGCCTAGCCCAGCCCACAGGCCAAGGAGACCCGAGCAGGAAGGGACCCACTTCCCAGCCTAGCTTGGGTCAGTGCACAACTGGGACTGTCTCCATCCTCATTCAGATGCCAGCTTTTTCCATAAAGGGCAGCTGGGAAGAGGCAAGAGTGGGCAGGGCAGGAATCCTGCCAGGCCTTGGGGCAGACTGCCCCCTTCCTCCTGTCGGTGCTGATGTTCAGCTGTGGCACAGCCCAGCACTTCACCACCCTCCTCAGTGCTGCCCCAGGGCTGTGTCTGCCCTGGCTGGAGCCCTGCTCCGCTGGGCTGTTTGGTAGTGAGGAAGGAACCCTGAATGCTCCCCATGGCCATTCTCAGCTGGACCACACTCCCTCCATTTTTACATAAAAACAACCCAGACAGAAACCTCTGGGGAGCAAAATCAGCAACACAAACAAGCCATCAACACACCTTGAATTTCTTCCTCTTCTCCACCTCCTCCTTCAGGCAGGCCTCATAGTTTGCAATCTCTGCCTCCACACACTTCAGCAGCGCCAGCAGCTCCTACCAGTATCAAGCAGACAAAATGTGAGCACAGACCCAGCCACAGCCCAGGAGCCAGCAGGGTGAGCTGGCAGGTGTTCCTCTCTGCACTGGGAAAGGGAGGATTCAACAAAGGAAAAACACATGCCAAGGGAAAACAAAGAGAGATCAGTTCATTGTAGGGAGTTCAGTACGGCAGGTCCCAGGGGAGCTGGGTTCTGCCTCAGCCCCATTGTACCTGGTTCTGGGACAGAGGGAAGGGATGAGTAACACCCCAGGGGCTGCTTCCCCTCAAAAACAAAATCCATAGATTTCCCTTTTGAGTGGCAGTTTCTAGCCAGCTCTCCTCCCCTGGCAAACTTTTGCTGCCTGAGCCTGGTCCTGTCCCTGGCTGGAGGGCACAGACAGGCCGTGAAGTCACCAGCAGGCTGGGATTTGGGGACGCAGGCTCTCACCAGCCCCTGGCCCGGAGGAGAGCACAGCAGGCTGAACGTCTCAGCTGCAGAGACAGGGGCTGTGCCCACTGCTCAGGCAAAGGTCCCCGAGACGACAAGGAAAACCTGCACTGCCCTGTGCCCTGAGGCACGGCTGCGACGACACGCGAGCGGGACAGCGTGCACATGCGGTTCGGTCACTGCCAGCGCCGCTGCGCCTCCGGCTGAGCTCCACGCTCCCAGGGCTGTCGCAGCACAAAACTCACCTTGGGAGAATACTTTTCCCCCCCAGGGTGATCACTGGTCCTGCCAAGTCCCACCTTCTCTTTGCTGTCACTGGCCTCACTGCCCTCCTTCTCCTCCAGTTTGATCGCGACCGGGGCCTCTTCACCGGGTTTAATGGAAGAGGGGGAGCCTTTCCCCCCATCTGCACAGAGGGTAAGGAAGCATCAGGAGCCATCACAAAGGACTGGCACCCGCTCCTGAAATCCAAGAACACCTTCCTGTCACTGCAGGGGAGATGCCACCCCCACAGAAGCTGGCAGGCACCTACCTGCAGCAGCCAGTGGGCAGAACACGCCGTCCTCGGTGAGGTGCAGCAGCCCGGAGCTGACGATGGGCCCCAGGTCCCTGACGGCCCGGTTGTAGCGCAGGCAGTCGACACGCAGCAGCCCGTCCTCCTCCCCAAAGAGCACCTTGGAGATGTGGGAGGTGACGGGGCTGGAGGGGCGCGTGGGGTTGGCGGAGCGGATCGGGGAGCGCAGCGGGACCACGGCCACGGCAGCACCCCCGCCACTCGTCTTGATGGACAAGGGAATGGAAAGATCCTTTTGAGACTCCTTCAGCTTCTCAGCAAGGACGTTGATGGTGTTGGGCTGGAGGACAGAGAGCTGGCCATCCGCAGCCCCCGCCACATGCTCTTGCTTCACCTGCCCTTTCCTCTTGTACCTGCCCAGGAACACAGCAGGGAAGGTGAGTAGCTGGTAGAAGAAGGTGGGGGCCCAGCACAGCCACTGCCAGCTCTGCATTCAGCAGTCTAGGCTGCCTGTTGGGATGAAACAAGGCCTGAAACATTTCTAGGTCACCCCCAGTGCCACCAGCTTCTCAGGCAGCATACCACCACCACTGACTCCTCAGTCCCAGGGACCCCTACACAGCCAGGGGTTACAGGGTGCTGCGTACCCCTGCTCTTCTTCCAAAGCCCTAAAAGCACCCTTGCTATGACCCCATCTTCCTGACCTGAGAACAGTCTGAGCACACCAACACTGTCACCAGGAGATGAACTGGCAACTGTTCCTCAAAGCCTGATGCCAATACATAGTTACACCCAGGGCAGCTGAAATTCAGGGTTGGTTGTGAAGAGCTACAGAAGGGCTACACAAAATCCAGTGAGTGAGCAGTGAAATAGAGGTGAAGAGGAGAACACAACTATCAGTGCTCAGGAAAGAGATATGGAAGTCCCTGTTGGCAGTTCTGCAAATGTCAGCTCTCTGGCCCCTGCCCTCAGCTCAAGCTGAGGCTGAGTTGGTGTTACTCACCTGATGGCTGAGTTGGTGTTACGAACTTCCTCCTCCTCATCATCATCATAGTCATCCTCATCATCCGAGTACTGCTGGTGCTGTCGGACTGGGACCCGGTTGCGACCCACTCCTGCTGCCAGGTCTTCCTCCTCCTGCAAAACACCATTGCTGAAGGCCTGCTGGCAGTGGGGCCAGAAGGAAGAGCCCAGTGGACACATCCTTGGTCCAGACCAACACCAGGACTCATCCCTTTTGAGAGGAGACAGGGACCCTTCCCCCTGCTCGCTCAGTTGACCCATGTTGACACTAACATCCTTTGCCAGGTCAGTCTTTATTGACTGTCTCCCCTTCCAGCCTGGGTTAGTGCCAGGGCAGGCAGGCTTGGGCCAGGCTTAGGCCAGCTGACAGCCACAGTCCCACAGAGCTCCAGCCTACCTGCATGGGGGACTTGGCGTAGTTGTGGTTATCCAGGAAAGCTGGCAGCCTCTGCACGATGGGGTTGGGGTTCCCTGGAGGTGCCCCGTTGATGCCGCACACTGATGTCTTTGGCCCCAGTTTGGCTTTGTTGGATGGGCTCTGCGTGGCCACAGGGTGGCCCTGGCTGGGGGGCTCATCAGTGCCATCTGCCACACAAGCACAGCACAGCCTTTCATCACCAGCACTGTCACCTTCTACTCCCTGTCCTCTTGCCCACCCCACAGAAGAGCTCTTATGCTCCATCACACCATCACCCCCATCTCCAGCTGTCACCAGTGTCCCCAAGCTTAAGCCTCCCACTTTGAAGCTCCACTGGTATGGGGGCCTACCTGGGTGGGTGGTCTCTGGAGTCACAGTCTTGCTGCTGGCTGGCTTTGCCTCTTCAGGAGGTTGAGACTCTTGAGACTTCTGGGTCTGTATCAGCTCAGGCTGAGTTACTCGAATAAGCTTGAAGGCAAATGACAGACAGAAAGTGAATGCTGGATTAGGGTGACCCAAACCACATCCCTCCCATTCCAGCAGTGCAGAGCCTGTGAGGGGGAGCCAACCACTGAGAATCCAGGTGCACAACCGACAGTGCCATGGTGAGCCACCTCCCACATGAGCAGCAAAAGGCCAAGCAGCAAGGCTGGTTATCTTCTCTTCCCACAAGCCATTTCCCAAGGCCAAACAAAACCCCAAAATTCAGGGCCCCTGTAACACAGGGAGATGCTCTACAAACAGCCTATTCCCACCCCAGGCTTGCCCCCCCTCAGGGCCTGGGCTGTCCTACCTGCTGCAAGGCCTCGAGCACAGTCTGACGGTTCATCTTCAGGATGTGCAGTTTGGACTCGTACTTCATCCTGCGGTCGGGCACCACGGCCATCAGGTTGAAGCGGATGTCGTGGTAGGGCTCCCTGTGGGAAGGGCCAGCGGGCTCAGCCGTGGGCCAGCAGTGACAGCCTGTCCCCCAGCACAGGGCAGCAGGCTGCCAGCCCCACCTCCACCTCCTGCCCGGGCATCTAACACCGACACACCCGAGGCTTCTCCCCCAAACCAAGTCAAACCACACACTGGCTGATGAAGCAGAGCAAGGTTGCTTCAGCCACCACAAAAAACATCCCTCACGCTCACTGGTGGGGTAAGGTGGAAAGGGACCTGAGGAAGTCATCTGCTCCAGCAGGATTCACCCAGTGCTTGTAACCAGGACCACAACCAGAAAGCTTTTGTGTATCTCCAAGGATGGAGACTCCACATCATCTCTGGGCAACCTGTGCCACTGTTCAGTCACTCTCATGCCCAAGCATCCCAGAGGCCCATCTCAGGGTCAGAAGCACCATTCCTTCTCCTATGGACTCCAGCTAACAGAGGCCTCGTTACACTGTGCAGCCATTTGCAGGGACTCTGCATCACACAGAGAATGCAGCTTCTCTGTGTGCTCTGTGGGCAAGAGAAGGCAACGAGGCAGAGCACCTGCACATTCTCCACCCCTACTTGCACAGCTTGCTGCTCAGAGACCACAGCAGAAACAATCCAGGGGAAAATGGCAGGGGGCTGGTGCCCACCCCATGGCTCGGGAGATTACCCTGCAGTGGCCAGGCCAATGCGCTCCATGATCACTCTCCTGGCTTTGTCCGTCCATTCCTCGTCCTCAGCCCATGGCCCTGTGATAACAAGACATAGCTGGACTTGGCAGAGAAGGCCAAGGCTCCTGCTTCAGACTCACAGAGCAGATCCTGCCTTCCCCACCAGAGGCAATCCCATGGCTCCCTTACATACAAGGGGGCAAGTCAGCAAGGGGCCCAGGAGGCAGAAGGACTATGTGTCAGCCTGTACACGAAGTGGTACCTTACCAAAGGGCCTGACACACAGAAACTAAGTCCTAGCAAGGATAAATATTTGAAAGGCAGAACTGAGCAGTCATGTTGTAAAAGAAGGGAGTAACCTGGGCAGCTCGCTGGGATCTGTGTTGGGACCTGGTGCCTCAACATGCAATGGTTATTTGGCACAAGGAGAAAGTGAGGAAGAGAAATTGTCCTTGTGATACCACATTATTCCAGAGCTGCAGAAGTACCTTGTGACCCTGAGCAAGTGGAGAGAAAAATGGCAAGGCTGAAAAAGCAATGCAACATATTTAGAAACAACTGCCTTCTAGGCACAGTTCCCAGCACCGTGCACAGGCTCCAAAATGAGCTATCAAAACTCGGGACAAATCTGGGAGCCATCGGAATGATGCTCCACTAACATCAGCTAACACTAAGCGGCAATGAAAAGCAATACATTTGGACACACCAGGGAGCTGTTCACCTGTGTCAATGGGGAGGGGCAGGCGGGCTCTTACCGTGGTCAATGGGATAGACCTTCAGCCCGTCCAGCTCAAAGAGCCGCCCCTTGATGGGGACGTAACTGACAAAGTGAAAAGCCTCCATGGTCCGCACGGCGCTGATCCCATTCTGCTTCTCCGGCAGGTGCCGCGGCTCCGGCCTGGGGGGGCAAGAGAGGTCAGTGGAGAGTCTGCTCCTCCAGGGAGAGGGACCTGAAGGCACACACTCCTCACTCAAGAGAGGTCAGTGGAGAGTCTGCTCCTCCAGGGAGAGGGACCTGGAGGCACCCACCCCTCACTCACCTGGCATGGCTGTTGTGGGCCTTGGCCAGCTCCGGGGCGTTGCCGATGGCATAGCCTTTGCTCTGCAGCCAACAGCAAGAGAGGAGAACAGCTGAGAAGTGACAGGAGGCAAACAAAATGCTTCGCCCACTCCCTCCATCCATCCACACACAGGACCAGGACAACAACTTCCAGGCACAAACTCAATTTCTACTGAAGAAATTACAGCTCTCAGAGAGAAACATAGACTTCATAATAGGTCTGAATGGAGGAGAAAGGATTTTGAACACAGGGAGTAACATGACAGAAGGCTCAGAGCTGTGCCCAGCCTGGGGACCAAGGCTCTGAGCAAGGCAAGGCAGGGTGATGAGAGAGAAGAGGCAATCCTGCTGCAGCATGCAGCCACAGAGGGCAGGGAAGGAGCCAGCTCGATAGAGCATCACCCCGAGAGGACAGTGAGAGGCAGAATCACATGCACCAGCCCTGCCCACCCACCCCCTACCTCAGGGCTAAAGCCTTTGGTGAAATCCTTCATGCGGCTCAGCGTGGGGCCCAGGTCAACATTGTTGCAGTTCAGGAGGACGCTCAGCAGGGCATGGGTGGCACAGGAATTGGGGATCAGCTGGAGGGTGACACAAGGACCAGCTTAACCAGCAGGAACAAGGCAGCCCTTCAACAACCCCTCAGCATGGATATCAGTTGAAAAGTACTGACAAGAACCACTTATGAGAACAGCAACCCAGTCCTGGCTCTGGATGGAAGGAGGGTGGTCAGTCTCAGCGAGTCACACCGTGCCCCCTGAGCTCACAGCTCAGGCCACAGCCTCCCAGCCCTCACTGCATTCCCTCCAACCTGGAGCTCAGGGAAGACACTCCCAGGAAAGAGGTGCTGCCCCATGACCAGCAAGAGCAGTACCACCCTGCTTCCCCGAGGTGCCACAGCAGACACCCCCACACACCCTTTTCCCTCACCTGGTGAGCAAAGAACATGTTATTAACGATGTCATCGTCGATCACCGACGTCTCATCCACCAGCGTGGAGACCTTCCGGCGGGATCTGCGCTCCTCAATCCACTTGAACAGGAAGATGAACCCATACACAGGGCTGAGGAGAGAAGTCAGCAGCTGTGGCACCTTGGACCAACCACAGCAGGGGTCTGCCCTGCCCAGCGCCAGAAACCTTCTGTTTCAAACCACAGGCAGAGCAAAGACAGGGAGGAAAAGCAGAACCACCACCCCTGGCACAATCCCCTCAGCCCCACATTACTCCTGTGCTGATGCTCCAGGCTCAGCCAACAATCAAGCTTGAAAACTTTGGGGTTTGACAAGTCTTAAGAGTCTGAAGACAAAGAAAAAGGGAAATTCCTCTCTGGACACTGATTGACCTGCAGAACAGTGCCTGACCACCAAATGACCTCTCCTTTACACCCATCTTCATTCTCAGGAGGAGTTCAGCAATGGCTTTTAAGAAGCAACAGTCTCAAAGCCATTTCACAGCACTGGGACAGGCAGAAATCCCATGCTGCAAGAACACTGGTGGGCACTGCACCTCTCCATGGGGAGAGAGAGACGAATCCCTTGCACTGTGTCCCACACCTGCCCCAAACCTGACAAAGCCCTCCTAGTTCATCACGTACAGCACTGACCTCCATGACTCAGATGAGCTCACACAGCCCCTCTGAATGCCTAGCAATGAGTGCCCAGGTCCACAGACCACTCCACTTCACAAAACTCACACTCTGAGGCCTCTGACTTACCCTTGGCATTTGCTCTGCAGATCATAAATCTCTTCAACCTGTACTCCCTTGACCCCTGCAGACAAAGGGCAGAAGCTGGTGTAAAGCCCACCAGAAAGGATGGGGTAACATCAGGCACAAAACTGACTTCAAAGAAAGGCTTCTTGGACTCACCAAAATCTTCCACCAGGAGTGTGAAAAGACCTGGAAAGGAACAAAACCTACAGGTTACTTCTGTCTGAAGAAGGCAGAAGGAAACCAGCTGCCACAGTCCCCCGAAGGTCCCACATGGTCCCAGGCGACAGCACAGCTGGAAAGTCCATGGCAGAGCAGCACCAGGATCACACTGAGTCCAAGCAGCAGGGATGTTGAGTCCTGGCTCTGACTACCTTCATCCCTCCATCCCAATTTATCACCCTCTTCCTCGAGAGGATCTGAACTAGCCCTCTCCTGCCAGAGCCCAGTGCACCCAGACCCACCTTGGGCACCCTGAGCCACTGCAGGTGACCAGCCAAGAAGTAAATCCCCACTGTGAGCAGCAGCAGGGAGCACCTGAACAGCACACACGCTTTCAACCAGAGGGAAAAATGGCTGAGTAGACCTTAGGAGATTTTAAAGGAAGATAATTTCTGTTCTTGTTAGTGAAAGACAGGCAGTGAAAGGAAAGCAGTTCACAGCAACAGGACTGCAAGGAAGTCCAAGGGCCGAAAGGCTCATCTTCATCTCTCTCTTTCTTGGGGGACCAAATCTAAGAGCCTGTCTCCAGTGACTACAAAATTTCCTGTCCAGGAGGACATAACCAGGGACACAGAGACAACAGCAAGGAGACCAAAGGATTATCAGACATCAGCAACTGAGTGGCAGCTGCCACTGTGATGCCACAGCAAAGCAGTCAGCCCGATTTCCAGGCAGTCACCCTGCACATGGAGTGAGCGAGCTCGAGACTGGAATAACAAAACTGCTTCTTTATCTCCCACATAAAGGCTGTTGAAAGCCTGGGAGGAAGTCCAGGGAATACCAATAAGAAGGATTAAATCCTGAGAAACATCCCTGTAAGCAACAGATTTAAGGACCCTGAAGTAAGTAGCTCAGTTAAGAAGTGAAGAGCCCAAGAAGCTTCCACACCAAAGTTAAAATTATTAAAACAAGGAGAAAACTTCTGGGAGCAAAAAGTCTTCCTTAATTTAGCAGAAAACTTATTTCTTACAAAATTCTCAATGAGAAGAAATATGTTGCAGAAATAATGTGCTTCAAACCAGAGAGAGCCTGCTCCCCCCGTGCCACACCATCACACCAAATCCCGGCGCCATCCTGGTCCCTTCCAACCCTCCCTTCTTCTCCAATTGCGCTACCTCAGCATCCCTGAAACGCACAGTCCTGCTGCTGCCATTGCTCCTGGAACACCCAAACCCCCATCTCAAATTATTTGGGTCACCTGGGACACGTTCTGGTATCCACAAGCACACACAGCAAACACCAGCAGCCTGGGTGTTCCCAAGGCTCCCCTCTCCACCCAAACCTGGATCTCCCGACCCTTCCTGACCAGAAAAGCACCCAAAGATCTCAATCCCAAGTCCCATGGCGAGGGCTGGGCAGCTCATGGGATGTGCTGAAGGCTGAGAGCAGCACGTTGGTCACTCCTAACAGCTGTCTTAGCTGCCACCTTTGCAACAGAACTGCCACATCCCAAAGAAAACCTTCCTCTGCACCAACAGGTTATCTCCCAGGCAAATCTTCCCCCCCAGCTATAAGAATCCAAACCATGCCCTGTCTTCAGCTTTGCTGTGGTGAAGATGGAGTGGATGGGAATGATTTCTGCAGTTCCCAAGCACCAGTAAAGAGGACAAACAGCAGCAAAGCCCAGCATGACTGGGAACAGACAAACAGAATCCTTCACTGAGCACAGGAGACCAGTGTAATTCCAGAGAACCAATTTCCTCACTCACAGCCTCAAAAACTCACCACCCCATCCCACAGAGCAGCTCCTACTGCAGCAACTCAGCAGTGCTAAAACAATACTCAGACAATGCCCCCACCCACACCAGCTCTGGCCCCCAAATCCCAACCTGTGAAACAATTTCAGGACTCCATCACAGAATCCACCTTCTCCAACACAGGAGGGAGATGCCTGTGATCCTTCTGCTCCACTCTGGGCTTTGCAGCACCTTTCCTGGACTCCCTGGGGGAGAGGGTGTAACCCTGCACAGCCATGGCAGGGTGTGACACACACGATGGGGACACCCCCTCATGTGCTCCAAGTGACACAGGGTATCCTCAGTCCCCTGAAATCTCCAGCCAAGGCCATTCCTGCAGCACAGGGCATTCCACACACACACCCCCAGCCTGTGTTTCAGCGATATTCCAGGGTGTGTTTGCAAACAATAGGAATGCCTCATGCTGCACCTCACAGTGTTGCAGATGTTTCCCACAGAGACCCCCAGGTTTATCAACCCCCACACACACACACAGTGTCTGGGGCACCACACCCTGTGTACGGGTGCCCCCTGAGCCCTAGCCCCACTCTGAGCCTTCATAGTGCTCCTGCAGCCCCATCCACCCCATCCCTGCCCTCCACACACCTGCACTCCCATAGCCAGCCTGCCCTGCACCCCTTTAACCTCTCCCTGACCCACCCATGGGCTCTGTAACCCCCCACAGTCCCCTTTCCCTGCAGGCCCCGCACCCCTTACACCCTCACCTGCCTTCCCAACCCTCTGCCCCAGGCACCCTCTTGGCACCTCTCCCCTCCCTGCAACCCCTTTCCAGCCTTTGTTCCCATTCCACACCCTCCCACAACTCCTGCTCCTCCTACTTCGAGCCTGCACCCCACAACCCTCCCCAGGCATCTCACACACAGCCCCCCAAAGTTCCACCTGTGCACCCCACACCCTCAAAAACCGCATCCCACACTCCCAACCCCCCAAACTTCCACCCGTGCACCCGAGACGCCCCAAACTTCCACCTGTGCACCCCACTCCCCCAAGTCCCACCTGTGCACCCCACATTGCCCTGCCCGCGCCCTTCAGCCGCCGGCCTCCCTAAGCACCCCAGCCCCAGGCCGCCGCTCCCGCGTCCCTCAGAGCCCCCTGCCCCGCGGCCCGTTCGAGCCCTCTCCGCCACCTCCCCAGCCCGCCCCCGCGCACGGCGCTCTCCAGCTCCCACCAGCCCTTATTCATCTTCGCGGGCCTGCCGCCCGCCATGTGCAGCCCCTCTACGGGACCCTCCGTCGCTCGCCCCGCCGCGTCATCGTAGCGCGACGCGACGCGCCGTGACGTCACGCGGGCGCGACGCGTGTCCCCAGTGACGCCACGTGGGGCGCGAGGGGGAGGCGGAGGCACAAAGGGACCGGTGGGGGCACCGGGATCGGGGCGGTTCCATGGAAAACGGCTTGTCTAAACCATGCTAGTGTGTTTTTCTTTCTGCCACAGCGTGCAGTGGATGTTCAGAGTTTATTGCATTTAAAATAATGGGGTTTGTCACGACTCGCTCCTCACTTTTCTGCCGACCGATTTACATCGTCTCTTCTCTCCCTTTCCTCACTCTATGCTGCTACTTCTATTTATTAACTATAATAAGTAAACATTATATTATAATAAATATACTGTATTATATGTAATATATCTAATATAATAGATATAACAATATAAGATAATATAATAATATATCATGGTTAACATATTTAGATAATATATATAATAATATACTATACTATAAGATAATATGTACAGTATAAAAACATATATGCTATATTATATATACTATATAAAAATTTAATTCTTTTAGGGAATTTAGTTTGCAGCACTTGTTGCTGAACTTTATTCCTGTGATTCCATACGCACTGTGATACTTCAGTACTTTCTTAGTTCTGCCCCTGTGCCCTTCAAGGAGGATCTGCTTATTGCAACACTTAACAGCACCGCTGAGAGTACAGGCATCTACCAGGATTTGCAACGTCCCAGAACGTTGGAGGGACCCCCTGCGTTGTGCTCATAGCAAGGGCTCCAAAAACGTGCATGTTGGGTGGAAAGGAATAGCAGGCACGATAATGTGGGTGCATCTGCCTGGTGGGTTGAGGGGTTTGTTGTTCTTTTGTTTGTTTGTGGGGTTGAGTGCTGGGTTTTTTAGGGTTGGGAACCAGTATTCTGTCGGACTCGATGGTCTCAGGGGTCTTTCCCAACCTAAGTGATCCTGTGACTCTGTGTTGAGGTGCCACCCGTGCCGGCCCTGCTCTGGCCAGCAGCTCCACTTTCTCCGCCTCAGGAGGCTGGAAGGCTCCCTGGGCGAGCGTGCGCCCCCGCGCTGCACTTCCTTAGGAAGTGAGATAAAAATAGGAGCGGGAATGGCTGTGCCTGTTTCCCCCACCTCCACGGCTTTGTTCTGCGGCCGTTCCCACACACACCCCGTCCCCCGGCGCCCCCCTCACCCCGCTCTGCCCTGGGACAGCACCAAGCCCCAGGTAGGGCTTGTTCCCCTCATGCTGCAGGTGCTGAATCTGCCCATGGATTGTGTCTCCTTCCACCCCCTGGGGGCCTGAGGATGTGTTCGTGGTCGTCCAGCACATGGAAGTTTCCAGGGACTCAGGTCACCTCAGCTGCTGGTGATCCCAAGACAGGCAGTCCTGACAAAATCCCTCCTGCTCCAGCCTTAGCGGTGTAAATCTACCCAGGAGGGCCAGGCTCAGCCATCCCAGAGATTTACTGGGAGGCGGGATAGGCCCTTTGGGGGACTGTTTTCTTCTGGTCTCTGTTCCTGCTCAGTTTGAAGCATTGCTGGCCCTGGTGCCACCTCCAGATGGGTCCCACAGGAGCTCAGGTTTGGGTCCCACACACAGCGTGGCCTCAGAACCCTTCTTGCTGCCTCCCCCCAGACGAGCAGCTCATCCCCTGCCCTATGGAGCTCAGAGAGTCGCTCAGAGGCAGCAGGGCACAGGCATTCCAGCATGGGTCAGTGCAGGCACTGTTGAGCCCTTTAATCCAGGCCCTGAGGAATCAGACTCCTGTCTCTCCTTTCTGGCTCTACACCCAGGTCCCTCCTTGTCTCCACTTGTTGGTTGTCATTCTCCCATGCCCCCCAGGCCTGTGATTATCCAAATCCACGTGCTTGGCTCCAGCCTGGCCCCACAAGTCAGTGCTGCCAGCACCGCTCCCCTCCCTGCGGGACGTGTCCTGGCCTGCCAGCCCCACCACAGCTCTCCCATCCCAGGAGACACCCTGAGCAGGCACCTGGAGCTTGCAAGGGAGCTGGAGAAGGGGGCCAGGACCCCCAGCCCCTCTCCCTGGGCAACGGCAGTGCTGCCCATGGACTTTGCTCCCCGCGAGCTGTGCTGCAGCACAAACGCACACACTCACAGGGAGGAGAGATGATATCACAACCTGGCTTTGTGTGAGCTATTTAGGGCCTTTTAATTATTATTATTATTATTATTTTTCTTTCCCGTCCCTCCGGCTCCGAACAATGCCCATCCCAGCGGGGCCGAGGTTCACACCATTGTGTGGGGCTGCCCTGCCTCAGGAAGGGGCAGATCTTTATCACCCCGGGCCTGACCAGGAGTGAGCTCATGTCGGGGGAGGAAAGCAAGGAGCACCTCACCATGCACCTACCCCAGCCCCTGCATTTGGGGGAGACCCCAGGTGCTGGTTTGGCTCCACCAGCCACCACGAGCCCACCCAAACCAGCCTCGTCCCACCCCGCCCTGCAGGGCCACCAGCCAGCAGAGACACACCCCAGCTGTGGTGCAGCCCCCCAAACTGTGCCTTCTGCCTGTCCCTGCTCCTACCTGGGCACAGTGACAGGGATGGCATCAGTGCCTCTCCCATGTTTACCCAGGAACAGGTCTAACCTGCCCACAGACATTTGCTTTTCTCCCTGACCCTGGGGGACAGAGGGGAAATGGGGAGCTGCACCCAGGCGCTGCTGAGTGAGCCCTGGTGCCAAGGGAAAGTAGGAAGGAGCCCTGTCCTCCAGGATATGCCCTGAGTGGCACAGCACGGCTCCAGCACCCCAGGCACAGCAGGTGACAGGGCTCATCCTGGACACAGATGTTTTCTGGGGTAATGCTCAGTTTTTCCCCCCATAAGAGCAGGCATCATCTTCCACAGGCTCTGGGCTGGATGGAAAGAGCCCAAAGCCATCAGCTGCTCCCCGTGGTGCCACGTTCAGCCCCTTTATTCCCAGAGGAAGCCAGCCAGCTCCTGGAGTGACAGCACAGCAGTGCCACCACACCTGCCAAGCCCCAACACACCCAGGGACCACGGCCCCCAACTGCCACAGCACCCAGCAAGAGCAAGGGGGGGGACAATGCATCCCMCCTCACCGTCCATTTCGGAGGTGACCCTGCAGCCACTGAGGGTGATGGGGACCTGCCCACCCACCTGTCCGAGGGGACCAGGCTGGCAGCACTGCCAGGGCAGGAGACCCTCGGGGCTGCCAGCAGCACGGGGAGCTGGTGCTCGCCCACGGCCACCCCACGTCCGTCACCCTGCCCTCTCTAAGTGGCTGGCACTTGCCGGGGCACACGGTTCCTCTCGCCGTGGGGTTTGGCCACCTGTCCCTTCTTGCCCACGTCCACTCCAGCCAGGGCCAGCTTGGCCTGGGCCAGCTTGCTCTTGCGGTGGTGGGGGCGGCCACTGCACCAGAGGCGGGCACAGTACTCCTCCACCCGCCGCAGGTTCTGGGAGCTGATCAGGTGCATGATGTCCTTGAACCAGGCTTTGGGAGCCTGTGGCGCCAGCCGGGGCTCGGAGCAGAGCAGGCGTGGGGGCTCGTCACCCCGCTCCCTGGGGAGGGTGTGTGCCAGCTGCTCGCCAGGGATCACCTCCAGGGCGGTCTTGGCCACGGTCTGGGTGAAGCCGTGCTCCAGGGTTTTGCAGTAGTAGGTGCCGGTGTCGTGCCGGTGCAGCTTGCGGAAGAGCAGCCCGTGCTCCGTCTGCAGGATCCGATCATCTGTCTTCACCTGCCGGCCACCACAAGGTTGGGGGAGTCCAGGTCTGGCCCTACATCCCTCCCATGTCCCCACAAGGGAAGAAAGTGCAGGGGCAGCCTCACCTCATCCCGCTGCTCGTCCGGGGGCCTCTGGACAAACCACTGCACAGTGGCCTGCGGGGACCGGGGCACACACTCCAGGAAGGTGCTGTTGTCCTCCGCCCCATAAAGCACCTTCTCCTCAACAGTCTCAAAATCATCCACTGGGGCAAAGACAGGCACGGGCTCATGAGGAGGGCAGAGCCAGGCTTCCACCTGCCTGTGTGTCAGCCCCCCTGGGCCACCGTGTGGCTTCAGCCCCCTTCTCTCCCTGGGGACAGACCCCAGCCCCAGCAGCACCCACCTTCTCTTGGGGCACCCTTTGGTCTATGGGACAGGGAGATGAGGGTTCCCCAGCCCATCCCGATGGCGACAAGCCCTTCTCTGTGCTGAGGGCTGTGGATGTCAGGACACCTTGGGGCACTTAGAGGAACCCCTCATCCCTGTGGTCCCCCCAGTCTCTCACCAGTCAGGTTCTGGTCCAGACACTGGTGTGCAGGGTTACCATGACGGGCGTCCTGGCGGCGATGGCGGCGCTTGCCAGAGGGCTGGTAGTGGGTGCAGGCAGTGCCGTCCCAGGCGCAGTAGGGATCCCTGGCCAGGCAGCATTCGGCACAAGCCGAGCCGTAGGACTCGCACCGGTGCAGCCGTACCTGGGCCACCCCCAGGCTGGAGCCCACGTAGAGTGTTTGCTGGGGGAACAGCACCAAGGTGGTGATGCTCGCAGGCCCCATGGGCACAGCACCCAGGGGGCCAGCCAAGATCTCCCCAGGGCAAGCACCATGCGGCTCTGAGAGGTTGGTGACCACAGCTCAGTCCCCAGCCCTGTGGCCGAGCCATGTCTATACTCACACGCTTGACAGAGATCTCCATCTGGGTGATGGGCACAGGCACCTGCAGGGGAGGAGAGAGGATGTCAGGCTGGCTAAACCTCGCCACGGAGAGCCTGGCTCATTCAGAGCTGCCAGGGCTTTGGAGGGCATCAGGAATGTTTTGGGCCACCCTCTGCCCTCACAACCCTGAGACCTTCCAGTGCCCAACACTGCGGTGACAACCCTGAGCCTCCCTCCTCATGTGTTTCCCCAACCTGAGCTCACCCTCCTGCCCCCTCCCTTGCAAGCGGGGCAGAAAATGTCACCTTAAAAACCTGCAGCTCCTCCAGGATGACTTCCTCAGTCGTGGCTGAGCTTGTCTTCTGCAAGACCACCACCTTCAGCACCGAGCCAGCATCTGGGGGCCAAGGAGGATGGAGGTGTGAGCACCCTGCCATCACAAAGCCCAGAGGTGTGGTAACCCCAGCACTCGGGCTGCTTCCTGCGTGCTGATCCTGCTGCTCACCTGTCCCGAGGAAGAGGACGTCGTGCTGCCCGTCCTCGGCCTCCACCCGGTCCACCACGATCTGGCGCAGCCGGTGGGGCAGGTCGGTCTTCACCAGGAGGGGCCGGCGGTGCCGGGGGTACACGGGCCTGTACATGAGGGGGTGAGCGCGGGCAAAGTGCAGCACCTCGTCAGGGAAGTCCTTGGTGGTGCCGTACTGCCGCCGGGGCTGGTTGGTGGTCTTGCTGGGACACTGTGGGGATGAGAGGGGCCCAGCTCAGCCCAGCCACACCACCACCCACCCCTCCTTCACCCTCCATCGCCCCTCAAAGCTGGTTTGGAGCCCTCCTTGCCTTCCAATTTGGAATCCATCTTCTCCACCCCTTTGCCAGACTTTGGTCCACAGCTGACCAGGGGTGGATCCCATAGGGAGCCCACCCCAGCAGGTGAGAAGAAGGGGGGAAGAAGGCCCAGAGCTGCAGGGAGTCACTCACCACACCAGGCCGTGGGTAGGGCACCTTGCCCTCGTAGGCACCCCACTGATGGTGGGGGCTCTCCCGGTGGGCAAAGGGCCCGTTGAAGACCTCCCGGATGTCGGCTACGCGGTACACACAGACAGCAGAGCCCTGAAAGACGTGGCTGAAAGGAGATGGAGAACAGGATGAGCAGAGCCATGCTTGGTGCCTGTGGCAGTGGGGCTCATGGGAGCACCAACATCCCCATGCAGACCAGAGCAGAGCTGGGGAGCGACCAGCAAGCCTTGGTGACAGTGACAGGGCAGGTCATGGGTGGCTGCAGCTGGATGTCCCCAGAGGCTGGAGCTGGACCACCCACCTGACAGTGCTGAAAAGGGCATATATCTCTGGATTCTTCCCATCCTTTGTCCTCAGCAAGAAGACATCCTCTGAAAATGAGAGCATGGGGTTTCTCCTAGAATCCCCAGGGTTTCCTGAAGCCACCAACTCAGGGACTAGCCCTGGTGAGGTACAGACCCAGACACCCCTTACCCAGCTCATCGAAGTAGGTGTCAATGCCACCAGGGCCAGGGACAGAGCACACCAGCCGGGCTTTGTTGAAGGTACTCCATTTGTTGACCAGCACCCTCTGGCCACCAGCATCATTCTGCAGGGACAGGAAGCATCAGGGCCACTGCTGTGACTTTGTCCATCCCTGTCCCCCATGGTCCCCACCAGCATCTTACCACACAGACACGCCCCACACGGCTGACAATGGCGTGCTCCTTGCTGTCTGCATCCACCACCTTCTCCGTGAAGAAGAAGTAGGCTTTGTCATTGTCCCGGTCGTCATTGTCTGGGATTAAGTGGGCTGCCACAAATTTGGGGTCTACAAGCAAGAGCTGGCCATGTCAGGTGGGGTAAGAGGGCACAGCAGCCACCTCCAGCCCCACACCACGCTGGGGCTGGATGCCAGCCAGGAGGACCCCCAGACCTTGCTTCCTGGTGCCTTGCCCTGCTCATACCGGCCATGAGGGATTGCTGCACCATGGCCACTGCAAGGCTCATGGTCCCCAGCACTAGCCCAGCCAGGGGGCAGGAGGAGGGGCAGAGGGAAGCCCTTACCATGGAGTAGGCGCTGGTCCACCTCGGTGCGCAGGGCGGAGCGGGTCCCCAAACTGCGGAACACGCCGGGATCACGTCCCAGGAAATCCGCGGTGAGGCCGGCATACAGCTCCCCACCTGCAAAAACACCCAGCTTGCACAGGGACCATCCCTGGCCAGCACCCCAGAGGCTCATGGATCCCAAGGAAGATAACCCACCGATGACAGTGCTGGCGAAAGCACGGCTGGGCTCATGCGGGCACCTGCCCCGGCCGGTCTCCACACTGGCGGGGTCCAGGCTGAAGGTGTGCTGGGGAGGGGGAGCAGGCAGGTGAGCCCTGGGCTGTGCCTGGGCAGGCAGGGGCCAGCTCTGGTCCCTGCCCAGCTCACAGGCACTTCGCTGCAAGCATCCTCAGCACCAGCCCACCCAAAGAGACTGTCTGGAAATGAAATCCATGCTTTTTGAGGCAGGACTGATCCTATGAGGACACACAGCAGTTGGAGGGATCTGCCAGCCCCACTGCTTGCCTGTTAGCCTGGTCAGTCATCACGGTACAGGCAGGGCTCCTGCTGCCCACATGGTGCTGGGCTGTGAGGAGGGAACAGAGGCCCCTGCCATTCCATCCCAGCCAACTTGATTTATGAGCAGTGAGCTGGGAGAAGAGGAAATGCCACCCATACGTCAGCCCCTGGCAGGACACCAGGCTCTGTATGAGTGTTTCCCATGTCTGGAAAGGGGGTGCCAGCCCAGACAGGTGGGTCAGCTGGGGAAGGGGGTAGCAGAAGCTCGAAGGGACAACAGGGAGCTGCTTCCTGATACCGTCCCCCCTCAGTATTTAGGATGGGGCAAACACCACATCCAGCATCCCCACACAGTCTCAAGGCCACTCAGGAGGGAGGCAAGTGATGAGGATCTACTTCCCAGGGGTGTTCCACCATAGATGCTCAGGGTGGGCACCCGGGCACCCTCCACAGTGCTTCCCTACCTCGCCACGGGGCCCCACATAGACGAAGGTGCAGACAGGGTGGAAGGCGCCCGTCCCACAGGCCAGCAAGTGTGTCCGGTTGTAGGGATGCAGCACACGGACATAGTTGGCACAGTCAGTCTGGGGAGACAGCAGGGAAGAGGAAGGGTCACAGGATATTGGTGTTTTGCCCACTCCCAGCTCCCTGCCTCTAGCCTAGTGCCAGGGGTGTGAGATGGCAGCTTGTACCCAATGACAGGACTTGCACAGACTTCATCTAGGTGGTCTCCAGCCCACTGCAAAAGGGCAATGCTTTTTACTGGTCTTCCTGTCCCTGGGCACCTGTGCACTCACCCTGTCACACAGCCCATGCCAGGGGAGCAAGGTCACCTGCCCAGCAAGCTCCAAACTCAGCCCCCAACCCCTGGCGCCCAGGACGTGACCAGATGCAGGGACATCCTTTCCCATCGTGTCCCTGCACACACCGGGGATGAAACAAAAGGAGGAAACACCAGAGACAGAAACCTCAAATGTCCTGAGCTGCCTCTAAAACAGCTTTGACTGCTGCTGTCTGGAATTGTCCTCTTCTTTGGTGGACAGTAGCTATGACACTCCCAGGGCTGGAGACCTGCCACCTCTGACCTCGCGCATTCTCTCCTGGTAGTTCCCACCTCGCGCATTCTCTCCTGGCAGTTCCCACTGGAAAAGGGCTCCCATCCTTCTCCACTGTTTGCTTGGCGGCTCCCCCTGGTCAGCGCCAGCCCTGCCTGCCCCCATTGTCCCCCCCCCACCTCCCCCCACAGCAGGAGGCCCCTCATCTGCTGGGAACACCGCTCCTGAGCCGCCCTAGGGGTTCCCAGCCTCCTGCTGTTTATTTTCCCTTTGCAAAGAGCCTCTAAAATAGCAAGTGAAAAAAAAATATATGTTCAAGGAAAATAAAAAGTTGAGCCTGCCCTGGCTTGGATCTGTCGGTGAGAGCTTGTAAAATAAACACACAGAGCAGGACAGGGACTCCTGGGAGCAATTAGTCTGGGTCGAGGGAGCCTCGGGGACTTTATCCCTGCCATAGTCCTGCTTCATATTGAGGCAGGGTGATGCAAAGAGGGGTAAGGTTTGGGGAGCAAGGTCACTGAGCCTGACTGAATTACAGATTTCCCATCATTGGGGACAGCCAGGATGGGCCGGTGTTGCTGGGGTCTGGAGCACAGCATGGGGGTTGTGGTCCCTCCAAGCTCAGGTCCCAGAGCCTGGCTATCCCTGCCCACTCAGTGTAGCCACTCTGGGACACACTGGCCACGACTCTGTGGCCACAGGGCTGAGCAGAGTGATTGAGACAGCATTCCCAGAGCCTGGAGCAAGCCTCTCACATGGCCAGGCTTGGCCACTGACTTCCTGCCTCAGTTTCCCTCATACTCTACTCCGGCATTAACTGGCCTGTGAGCCCCATGGGGTCACTCCCAGCAGGATGACATGGCACAGCCCCAGCTGTGGGGACCCCCAGCTCAGGGCAGAGCACACATGGGGAGACACTCACCCCTGGATCCTTCCCCTTCCGAAAACACTCCTCCGTCTGCCCCGGGAGGGGTGGCCAGTAGATCTGAAACACAAAGGATCTGTTGGAGCAGGGAGGGGGGACAGCAGGAACTCAGCCTTGCAAATCCAGGTCCCCAGGCATGGAAAGAGGGACAGAGAGAGGGACCACGGCTCCCCAGAGCCCACCCAGTCCAGGGCTCCCACCCTGCAACTTCAGGCAGGACCCTTCCTCCTGGGGAGAGGCACCCCAGCAGTCACAGCCCAACTGGATTTGGGTGGTCATGCTGGGGATGACTGAAGCTGGCCTGGAAGGGCTTGTGGGTAGCCTGGGGAAAGAGTGCCAGGGGACAGCATGAGTGATGGAGCCCATGTTCCCCACAGATTTTGGCAGCTCTCAGACCAAGGGCAGCTTGGGTACACAAGCCCTTGACCCCATCACAGTGACCCAACACACTAAGGGCACTTCATTTCCTCCTCCCCTTTCTTCAGCTAGAAACAGTCCAGAGCCTTGTTTGAAAAACAGCAAGCCAAAGTGGAGAGGGTGAAGGACCACCCAGCACTATTGCTGTGGTCTGTCACCTCTCCCACCGAGGATCCAGGAGAGGCCGGGGGCCTCTGAGAGCCCTGACAGAGCTTGTTGCAATGATAGATGCCTTTAGCTCCTTGTCTCTGCAGGCTTGTCTATTTGGCCTGTGAAGGGGATGCCCAGATGGGGATGGGCAGGACTCACTCTCCCAATGGCAGTTTTTTAAAAGGGTGGGATCCAAAACACTGCTCAGCACCCAGGAATCACTGGTGGGCTGCACCACCAGTGTCCTATGCTGCTGCTCGTGACTAATCACTGGCTAACTGCCCTCCAGCCACCACAGCCAGACCACCTCTGCCAAGCACTACAAGTTTTCAGAATCACTTCAGGGCGCTTGAGATGGGGACACCCCCAGGGCAGGTCTTGTTTCAGGGTGACTTTGCCTGGCTCAGTTGGGCACCATCCACTCAGAGGGGCGAGGAGTCCATAGGGATGAAGCTCAGCAGCACCCAGCTCACCTCCTTGGCATCTGCACTGGCCCCATCCAGGAGCAGGGAGTAGAGCACATCCTTCCCCCCGATGAAGAGCCGATCCCGGTACTCATCCAAGTAGAGGGAGCGGAAGCCCAGGAAGCCTCGGTGACCGAAGAAGAGGACGGAGCGGTTGCTGCCTGAAAGCTCTGCCAGGGAGACAAGGCACATCAGGAGGAGCCATCCTGGCCTCAAGGGTCCCTACAAGCTGCTGCTTCTATCACAGAGCTGTCCTGGAGCCAGAAGAGTTGCTCCCAGCCTCCCCGGACAGCATCATCCTTCTCCATCCCTTCCCAGAGGTGCGGGCATCCCAGACTCAACTTGGCTGAAGTGCTGCTCTCCCTGCCAGCCAAGGAAAAAGCTGCAGAGCCAATTGGCAACAGGGTACCAGGCAAGGTTGCTGCCCCCAGCAAGGTTTGGCCAAACCAGTCCAGCCTTCTACCGTGGCTGTGCCACAGTGAGTTGGGCTGTGCCACCAGCCCCAGCCAGGAGGGTGATGAGATCACACATGGGGTGGGCAGAAAATAGGTCCTGTCCCTGCCAGGTGCCAGCCAAGGACATAATAGCAGGCAACCAGCCAGTGCCATGGCACACAAAGTCTGCTGCTGCCACCACCAGCAGACCTCGCTGACAGGGAGGTTTCCTCCACATCACACCATGGGGATGGCACTTGGGCAGAGGCACTGGAATGGGAATTCTGCATCCCTGGGATGGACATCACATCCCAAAGAAACAGGGTCTGATATCAAGACCCCCAAAGCAGGTCCAAGCATAAATTTCATGGGATGCCAAGGGGACCCTCATGGTGACGACACCGCGGGGGAAGTGGCATGACTGGTTTGCAGCAGGAAATGACTTTCAGGGTCATCAAGCCGGCACAATGGCGCCCACACAGCTGCCACAGAGGGAGAGAGCAAGAGGGAATGGCTCAGCTTCATAGGGATCTGAAAACCCATCCCAGCAACTGCCCTGAACACAGGCCAGGCCACTGTGACCTCCAGACAGAAGAGGAGGACAAAGAGCCATTGATGAGCACAGCCATGTCCCCAAACACCCTCCTGCTAGCTGCTGCTGCTGACCCCAGGGAAACCCCCAGCACGAGCATCCCCCCCACATGACCCCATGAGAGGGGAGGTGGTGCTGGGACAAGCCCAGTTGCCAGCAGCCCAAGACACTGGGGTACCAAGCCCTGCTCTTGCCAGGGGGGCCATTTATCACCTCCAGCAAGGAGGTGGCCATGCCATGCCCCCATCCTGGTGGGAAATGTGTCTTCTGGGGCCTGCAAGGGAGACAAGGTCCATCCCTGGTGGGGGACAATGGCAACCTCCATCCCATCACACACAGCTCCCATCCCTGCCAGGCTGCTCAAGGGCAGTCCCAGTGCCCTGACTGGTGATGCCAGCGACACAGAAGGATAGAGCCTCAGTGGCTCCATCCCCATCGGGAAGCCCCCTGTGCCTGCCAGCAGAGCTGGCACCAGGCCCTGGCGGCCCCTCCACCCCGTCTCCCTGGGGGTACCCTCCCCCTGTGTCCTCACAGCATCTCAGGTCCTCCCATATCGCCTGGTTCAGCACAGGAAAATGCTGTCGTCTCCTTCTATTCTTGCCCAGCAATAATATTTTCCCAGCTCAGAATAACATCAGCAAAGTCGTCGGGCTCCTTTTATTGTTTCAGGCGAGGCTTCCCCTTCTCCCCCAGACCTGGCGAATTCCTCCTGCGCCTCGGGTTACACCAGCCCAGGGCGCCTTCCTCTTCCCCCCCCACCCCCGGCTTCATCTCCCCAGGGAATAGCCCCCTGCCATGGCCCATCCATTCCTGGGACCCCTTTACCCCAGTGGGGGGAGCCCCGGGGAAGGGACAGCAAGAGAGCATTGGGCTGTGCTGCAGTGCACATAGCAGCAAAATGCTCTTTCCCCTCTTACATGAGCCACTGCTGAAATTCGAAACAAAAGGAGAAGAGTGGCTTGAAGTGTGAGGGAGAGCTGGGGACGTGGTCACCCCTGCACTCACAGCACAAAGCCTATCCCTGTCACCCCACAAATGCCACCCCGCACCCAGAGCCGCTCGCCAGGCAGAGCCCAGACCGAGGAGATGTGCGTAAACAGCTCCGGCTCGCCCCTTTCATTTCGGAGGCTCTAATGGCTTTAATTGAAATTTTCATTTTCTTTTTCTTCCCCTCGGGGAGAAGGCGGTGGCAGAATTTGTTTCATGGGAAATTTCAGTTTCTGTTTCCAATTTGGAAGACGAATGGAATAATCAGCCTAAGAAGAGGGGAAAAAAAAAAAAAGGCTTTCAAAGGTGGCTCCTCCCCGTGAGAAGCTGAGGAGCGCCCCCCGCCCGGGCCCTGAGGAGCCCTTCACACCTGGGGAATGGCCCGGCACGGCCGGACTTTGTGCTGGAGTGGATCAGACACAAAGCCAGACCCTGAGCCCCACGACCCAGCCCTGCTGTGACTCCAGACCCCCTTGCCTTGTTGCCAAGCCCAACCTGAGGACGCCGGATCCCATCAAGGGGGAGAGCCATGAGCCGTCCTGGGTGCGTGCTGGCTCCCAGGGTAAGCAGGGACCACTGAGTGCCTCAATTTCCCCTTCCACAGGGAGGCAGCCCCTGGGTCGCCTGCTGTGCCCCAGGACAGAGGCAGCTTTGGGAACCCCCAGCCCAGGCAGCACAGGAGCAGACTTTTCCCTGGCACAGGGAGGTGCTTTGCAGCTCCCGTGGCTCTCCAAGCCCTGGACTGATCATGCTTTTCCTCTCGCTGGGAACGGGGAAGATATGCCTTATGTAATTTATTTTATGTTAATTTTTTTACGAGTAGGTTCATTGCTTTGAGGCCAGAAGGAGATTGGGGCGCCCCAGGCTCTGTCAAGTTTGGCTGGAGCAGCCCGTGGATTAGGCTGGCAGAGCGGGGGATGCGGCGAGTCAGAGCAGGATCACAGGGAGAGTTTTAATTAAAACCAAACACTGCCCCCGCAGCCCCCCGAGGGGCTCCGGCACCCTGGCACCCGCACCCCAGCACGACGGGACTCAGAGGGCGCACCCCGGGGACCCCCCGCCCAGCCGAGGTTGCTGAGCACCCACCCCCGGGGGTGCCCAGGCCGAGGGACCACCCACGCACCGCAGCACGCCCCCAACACACACGGCAGAGCGTGCCGGGGCCGGGACAGTGCCGTGCCTCAGTTTCCCCGCACTCGACGTGGGAGACGATCCCCCGTGGGAAGCGACGGGGCTGGCGCGGATCCCGGCTGCACATCTCCTCTCCCCATCACTGGGCTCCCCACTTCCTCCCCCTTCTCCCCGGGGGCCCTCCACGTCCCGCGTGGGGAACGGAGGGGTGCCGGGCGGCCACTCACCAAAACCGCAGCCCAACCCGAGCCCCCAGCGCAAGGTGCCCACGAAACCTCTCCCCCAAAAAACCTGCACTCCG